TTGACTTTGCAGTTGTTTTCTCACTGGGCRGTGCCATCAGATGCCAATGCCAGCCCCACTGGTGTTCACTGTGCTTAAGCTGRAGACAGGAAATTGCTTTCCTTTACAAAAACTTGCTGTCAAGCTGTTCTTATATTAAACAATGGAAGTAGGTGAAGCTTTTGAGCCACCACTATAAATTCGGACTTGGTGCCAAGAATAGTCAGGTGTTTGAGGTGAAAAAAAACACTCAAAAAGGACGAATAATCACCTTAAAGACACATCTAGTATCTTTCTTTCAGGCATTATTCCTGAGAATAAGGGTTCTCAAAGCAGGAGGTTTCTCTTTCTTCGACTGATCATAAAAAAAAAAATCTTTCAGAAATAAATGCACTCCTCCCATGTGTGATGGGGAAGGTGCCCTTCACTGTGTGCTGCAGGTGAAATTGGTTCCAGTTCAAAATCTTGTTTCTGTGTCCAACTTTCAGAATTCAAATCTRTGAATTCCTTGAGCTCTCTTTCAAAAAGGGAACCAACCTTAAGATGCAAATAATCATGTATGGTGAGCATGGATTAATTATTACTTATTCTGTATGTATGAAAATATTCTTCAATGTTTGGAAGTAGGGCTAATAGCAGAAGGTTTAAAATCGGAACCTTCTGTTTAAACTCATGCCAGAAATCATCTTCTGACTTTTTTGACATCCTCTAAACCTGCAATTCATTAATACAACCTCATCTGCCTGCTCGCTACTGTGAACCAAACAACAAACAGCAGAGCAGAAACAAAATCTTTCTTTCGATCCTTACAACATGCTTATTAATGTTTCTGTCAGCTGCTGTCTGTTATTCTGAGACTTATCTGATTGGGACTGCAAAATTATGCATTTATTGCTCTCTCATCCTGCTTCTGTCCTCTTTCCAGTTTCCTATCACAGATACCTGATTTGCTGGAGGCTATTCCGGCTGCTAGGCTTTCTTCTCATGCTGTATACAGYTGCATTTCTACAGCTTCTTCTATATATTCATGTGTTCTTTTGAGTGTAGAAGTTTCCTGCTATTTAAAATTCATGAATTCTTTMATCTCAAACACTAATTTATTCTTTAGTTACCTTTTCTCCTTGTTTTCTTCTATGTGATCATAAGTTTTATTGCTATCATGTCATCCTTGCCATCTGTAACATTTCTTATTCCCATCTATTAAATGCAGTAGCTTACTGAAGAATGTCAATAAATATTTTCCAGCGTTAAGTTTCATTTGAGTTTGAGTCCAAAAATATCAGTATTTAGAGACATTAAATGTCTCTGAAATGGTGCGTTGCTTCCTGGGTACTAACTGATGGACCTGTATGAGATGAAAACAATCTAGGAGCTTTCTGTGCTTGGTTGTGCACATGCCTCAAGAATCTCTCTACAGCAGGACTTGTCTACTTCTGTGTTTTAGTAAATACAAATATGCTATAACTTCCAGGCCAAAAAAAAAAAAAAAAAAAAAAAAAAAAAAAATCCTGTATTTCCATATGTCTTTATTCATGTTGTCCCAGTTATCGTAACTGATCTGGCACCCAGTGTCTGCAAAACTCTTTGGATATTCCAGTATATTCTTATCGCTGCTAGCACATTTTCTGTGAATACCGTGTTACAGTTCAGTTCTTAGTGTGTGTGCAGTCCCAGCATTTCCAGAATACCAGCAGAAGGCTTAATATTTGCATTGTTAAGCATTTAGGAGGCATTAAAAATACATAATGATTTAATTCAAGATGTTTGGAATTCCTGGAAAGGGTGTGATTAAAGCTGTGGATAATGGATTAGTAAAGGGAAATGGTGCTGCTTGCGAACAGAGGCTAGTTTTGATTTCATCACTTCTGCCTCTGAGCATTGGATCACACATTCTCATCTTGGGTTTTCTCACCTCGGAATGGCACTTTTGGCTCTCTGCTATTTTGAAGCTCCAGCCCTCCACGAGAGACATCTCAGCTGCTCACCTGCACACTGCCGAGCCCCTGCAGTTAACCACGTGGCAGATGAAGGTGCAGTAACATTGCGGTTCCGTGGAAAAAATAACTCCCCAAAAGATGATCTCAGTCAGCCTCAACTTCAGAGAGTTTCGGGTCCATCAGATACCTGGGTATTGAAAGGGATTTTCTCTCTGTAAATTGTGTCTGGTATCCAAGGCMGGGGGAGTTCACTTGTTCATACTCTGATTTTCACAATCAATAAACTTTTGTGTGATGTAGCGATAAAACCCACGGAGCAGAGATGCTGTCTCAGTGGAAGTCAGTTGATACTTTCCCACTGTGCTCTATTATACCTTTAAAATTCCATGTTAGTCGAGCTGTCATCTTGGAATATGGAACTTGTTTTAATAGCTGTCAGTGCATCAAAATGAATTTTCCCTCAGAATATCAGTATTTCATTTCTTTCTTTACAATTCAGAAAGACGGGGTTTATCCTGGCAAATTGCAATTGCACAATATCTTACTTGGCCTGTGATAGTTTGAGGGCTGCATAATAGAAAACACTCGATAGGAAATGCCATAGTGCTTCAAAAATAACRTACTGATAGCTTTGGTTTCTTTTGTCAACCTGGATCACATGGCTGTTTAAAAGAAGAAAATGTAATCCTGGCATTAGATAATTTTGGGCTGGCCGTGCTTGCAGCCAAAAAATTCTCTGTAAAATGATGAAAAGAATAATGAAACTTAAAGTATCATGCTGATATGTTCCCTCTTTAGAAATTCTCAGGTTACTGCTGACACTTTAGGAAATTAAAAGATAGAAGGCAGATACTTTCTTGTGCTATTTCTAATTAGTTTTTATACTGAAGAGTTAGTTTTTGGGCTGTGATAGGTTTACTTGGTCCAAAAGCAGTAAATAACCTGCCTGGTGTTATTCAAGAATGTATGGTAACAGCAGGTTGTAATGCATCAGTTTTCTAATGAATCCAACAAAGCTTCAAGTGCTAATTTGTCAGGTTCCCTTAGCCTCTTGGGCGAAGTGAAGCCCTCTGTCAGAAGTTTGCCAAGTCTAATTGCAAAATAATAAAAAAGTTGCAGCAGGAGACTGAATAATACTCCATTCAATTCTCTYGGGGCAGGTTAGATAAGCTGTCCCTACTGCAAGGGTAGCACAGCTCTGCTCCGAGTGCCATTTTACCTATTGTAGCTCCTCAGTGGATTAGCTGCATTAGTATGCTTTGCTCAGAGGATATCTAAAATTTAGAGGAGTGGGATTCATTTCGGTTATGCTCACCTGGGAATGAACTGCAAGTTGAGATTCTAAAAGCATGTATTTGTACCCATATTGAAGTTCCTTTTCACTGACAGTGCATATTTAAGAAAGTCAACCTAACAATGGGATAATGGCAGATTTTATTACTTATTACTTATTATTTTAGAGAAAAATCTAGCGCTTTTTACTGGTTGTGAATCCATTTTGCCAAATACAACTTGTAGCATATGTTCAGAAGGGAACCAGCACGTATTTCACTGTGCTAAAATCTTTATGTTTGCATGCTGATGATAAGTAAGTATGATAGTTTACAAGTAGTAGGACAGTGCTTATTCTAGAAAACATCATGCAGAGCCATAGGGAAGAGTGTCAGGCTTGACTAAAATATGAATTATTGAAATGTTTATTGAAATACGGAAGTGTCTCAGCCAAAGTCTTCTACTTAGATTTACTGAAGCTATTACTAGATTTATTTCCAAATGTAATATTATTAGCTGTGCAGCTGGGAGACACTACAATGAGGAGGGCTGGGCTGGGCAGCAAAAAAAAAAGAATTTATCTCATGAGAGATTTCTAGCTTTCAAAATTTATTTTGTTCGAGAGAAACAGACCTTTAGGGAGCTCAGCCCCAGAGCTGAGGAAGCTGAACACTGAAGGTCTTTTCTGAGATGGTGATRAGTAGTCCAGATACAAGCTGCTGAATTGATTTGAACCTCTGCAGTGTAGCATAGACACATAGCAAGGAGAGTGGTCTTTGAGGAGCTGTTATGAGACCCTTTGCTTTGCTGTAAGTGTAACTTCAGAAATTTCCCCATTGAAAGTTTCCTACAGACAGAAAGCTGAGCTGAATAGTTGTGACTGACAGGAGTTTTCCACTTCAGGTAAATATTTCCATAAAAAATATTAGAAAGTTCTCAATTATCTGTTTAGTTGGGACACTAAAGAATCAGGCTCTATAGCCCACTGAGWGACTGGATCATATGCTCCATACATAAGAGGGAAAATATTTCTAACACTGAAAACAGAAAAAGAAAATGAGCATCTGCTCTTGTGGTTCTTCACATAACACAGGGACAAGCTGTAGAATGCCTTGCCACAGGAGCTAGGACATGATGAAAGTTTTTTGCTCAAATATGTGTGATTTAATCCTACTTAAATCTACAGAAGAGAAATCCAGCCAGGATAGTATCTCTGGCCCAGGAGATCCCTGAACAACAATTTTCTGGAGACTGAAACTACTCTGAAGTTTTGTCACAGCAGTCTTGCCATGTTTCTGTACTTTACCCCAGGCATTAGCTGTTTGCTGTTGCGAGAGMTGGTTTGGGTGGACTTTTGGTGCGAGTCACTGTAAGTGTGATATGCCTGCTGCCTTGTGTGTACAGACAGACAGGTGTTTCTTGYGAGGAGCAGCACACACCTAACACCCATCCTGTGCATGGGCAAGAGGAAGACTGTGCATCTCTTCACCTTTGAGCAATACAACCACAAAGTAACCATAGAAACAAAGACACAAGAAGCARTACTGAAGCTGGCATTGCAAGGAGAATGGGAAGTGGCAAAAGACAAAGACAGGCTTTTATTTCTAACAAGAACTGAGGGGTCTTTCATTGCCTCGTTAGCTGCTATCCCTTGCTGCCCAGCTGAAGCTCTTGCTGCTCCTGTCAGTGTGGCAACACGGCTTCTCTACAGCCTTGCCTCCCCGAGCCTCAGCTGTGGCACATTAACATGCTCATCAAAGAATCTGGTATTTGAGCAGCTTGGAAGAGTGCTCAAAGTTTCTAGCTTTTGTTGTGTCTGTAGCCTTCTGTTTTTGGGAGTTCCCTTAACCTGCCTGACTTTACCTGCAGGGTTGCACTTTGTCCCTGCTGTACCAGGCTACAGACTCTGGCCTAAGGGCAGTTTGTGTTGGTTGTGCCAACGGTCAAACAAAACCTGGAGGAACTCTAGGAGCCTTCTGTGGCGGACTTCATAACATGCACAGATCCTTCTCCTTCTTCATCAATCCTCCCATCAACCGTAGCGGATGTTGCATCTAGTGCAATATATATTGCATGAGCTACCTGAATTCAAGGGGAACATGTCCATGGTTCTTCACCATAAGRAGAAGTGGAGTGCTCAGACAGACCCCCAGCCTCCTCTAGACAGCCTGCAGCTTTYTGAAACCAGCACCACTGGAGCTGGAGGTAGGCCCATCTCATGTTCTTTGACCTTTTCAAAGTGATATATTGTAAGCCATGTAAGTGCAAGAATTTGCCAGAGGTAAGAACCTGAAATATCGAAACACATGGAACTGGGAATGAGTGGTATGATTTGCTGATATTTTGAAAGTTAAGTATTTTACGGGACTGAGGAGACAAGTAAAGAAGCAGAGTATCAGGCCTTGGTCTTGGTCAATAATACAGCTGGCCTCAGGGAGTGGAGACTAGGCTTCATAATCAGGAATGAGAGGATTAAAGTAAACCTTGTGTGTGTGTATGTGTGTGGAAGCACTGAATATTTTTGCTAGCTCCTTACTCTTTGTTGATATTTAACAATTTGATTTGKTTTGTTTGGATGCTGCAGTATTCAGTTAAATGGATAAATAGGCAAAAATAAAATGGAGTATTTGAGCCCATCCAAGTGCACTTATGGTAAATAGTTTGCATTTCTAATATATTTATTAATAGAGCTGACTGTTCAGAAACTGTATGGGGGAAAACCATGTTGTGAAAAACTTGTGAGATGCTGTTCTTTCCCCAGAAAGGGGGACTAATTTCAACTGCCATTTTTATCCATAAAAGTAAAATTACAACAACAGCAATTAATATTTATGACTTCTAAATGACAAAGGCAATTGGATTTCAAATAAAGTACAGCAAAGGTCATGCCTCCTCAATCATAAAAAAATCTTAAGTTGTGACATTCTTTCTTTCATCATCCCAGAGTTCATTCTGAGCAAAAAGTAATAAACCATGTAAGTGACCCGGGCAATGTGCATAATAATATTCTGACAGAGCATTTTCTGTCTTAGACAAATTTTGGTAAATGCCATTGGAAAAAATAAAGTCTGTTTAAAGCTCACTCACTGGTAATGTTGCATTATGTAGTAGTCTGACTGATCATATATTTTCTTACATTTAAGTCCAAATAATGCAATCTCGAGTTTTAAAAGATGGTCTGAGTTTTGAAAAATGGCTTGAATACCTGATTCCTTTTCTCAGAAGGCAGCATCTTTCTAAGCCCATCTAAATCCTGAACAGAAACTATTGAAAAAGTTCTGTTTGTGTAAGCAGGCATTGAACAACTACTGGCCACTGCCAGTAACATTAAAAAGGATTCACAAATGCTTTGCACGGAATTTGCTTAATCCTGGGCAAGGTGTATTTAGAGTGAATTTCCACTCATTTTTGCAATGTTAATCTAAGATTTTTAGCTTTCTCCTCAGACTGCCTCAGCAACTTCTAATAATATTTGGCTWTTGATTATGAGCTGCATAAGGCAAGCTGGTAGGTGATGCTTAAACCACAGGTTTGTGATCAGCTAATAATAATCAATGGTGGAGGGACTACTCTTTGCTGACCTTGGATTTTCACCTGAACCTGGTCTTCCACAAACGAGTAAGAAATTAGCCCTTTCAGTCAGATAACTTCTTGCTTTCCTCATCTGTCCATAGCTAGAGGATATATATGTTTATCCTCAGCTTGCTATAAGGGCAAAAGCAGTTAAATATCTGCATATTAGAAAATTGCTATAGGTGATTTTGAAAGCGGTTTGGATACAGGACATCAGAACTGTCTTGGCAAATCATAACTGCAGTATCTTTTCAGTGTTTCATGTTTCTCACGTTTATAAAGAATACAATCTGAACAAGAACAGAGCCTGTGAGAAGTGTATTAATCCCTAGAGTCAGTCTTGAAGAATATATTCTTGATTAGAATATACTTTACACTTGTTTAGAGTATACAAGTATAATACTTTTTACTTTGTTYAGACAGATATCAGATGTCATATTTATGATTTATCTCACTCTAAGTTTGGAATAGTCTAGGTAAACTCAAAAATTTTCTGTGATACTCTATTTTAGCTTAATATAGACTTCTATTGCGCAATGATTTGTAAAGTATATTAGGAATAGTGGATGGCAAGCATGGGAAAAGATTGCTGCAACTTCCTACCAGTGCTTGGACTCTTCAGCCCAAGTCCTGGCTGCTGGCAGAACCGCGACAGTGGAGGGGCTAATTATGAGATCTCAAAGGATGTGCCAAAGACAACTTTTTTTATCCCCTTTTTACAATGCTGCCTGATAACCTATAAATAATGTCTCCAGTCTCTTCTAAGCCTGGTCTCTATCTTCTTTCCTCTAATTGTGTCCCTAGGAAGGGAATAGGGACAGTGAGAGATAATGAGTCGTTCCTGCGTGTAACTGTGAACAGAGCACTTGTCTCGAGCTTATCGCTGCCACAAGGGCATGCGTTTGTGTGTTTGTAACATCTCATCTCCAGACGATTTGACCTATTCATGTTCACTCAAGGTATTTGTCATTTGAATTTGTATTATTAATCGTTTCACTCAACTAGAATCTGCTGTGATTTGTGCTTTTTGATTTATTACAAGATCTGTATTTATTATTCATCACTCAGTTTTCTTTCATCTTGACTTAAATTTAGCCTAGTATTTTGCCATGCTTTTTAAAAGATTTCTTTTAATTATTTTTCCTGTCCTTATTTTTATTTCTTTCGTTCACATTAAGGAGGTAATAGTTAATCCTTTTTCATTTTAAGCAAGTGTACTCATGGCATATAAATTATATTAAAATAGACTCAATCAAGATGCAGCACTTCTGGTCACTTATTCTGCTGTACTGAGGATATTTTTAGAGATGAAATTATTTCAGTAACCTTAATAGAAGATTTATTTGCATTTTAGTTGTATASTAATTTAATTTTATATATCATATAGCCATTTTGCATTAATGCTTAACATAGTTGCATATTCATTTTATTTATTATGTCTGCAAAACTTAGTGATGGAACTTACAAAGTCTTAAAGCTTGTTGGACTTCTTCCAATTATTATCATACTTGGACTGGGCGCATACTGTCTTTGAGAGTAAAAATCCAAGTGTTCTTTTTTTTTTCTGTCATCAAACATACACAGTATTACTTTATAACCAAAGTTTTCTGCACATCTGAAAACCTATTAGTGTCTTACTTGACTGCAGGAACTCTGAATTAAACCAGCAACAGGAAGAATTATTTCAAGATCTTTTCATTACGTCTGTTGTCRGTTACACCACTAAAAGCTACTTCATATATTACAAAGGCCAGAGAAATATTATTTTAACCATTTTTTGCTCAGAGCTATGATTTCCAGCTGAATTCTTTCAGCAGTACTTATAAACCTTGTTTCAGATACAAGAAGAGGTTTTCAATTAAAAGTTATAATAGGCATGGCAGARAAGTACAGTGGCATTCTATGACTGACATTCTTGAAAAATTACTTCAARGAAGAAGATGTCTTTTTATTAGACACTTGAAGGGTTTCTGAATTTTTTGCAGGCCTTAAAATTATGATAGTATTTTGTTGGTTTTTGGAATAAAAGTATCTTCTGGATTTTTTTGCATATGCTCTTTAGTGTGTACATTTTATCCTATTAAAGTTTGATCACGTACAACTGAAATGAGTGTTAGCTGTGGTGTTGAATTATGAGCTAAAGCTTAAATCCAGTATAAAGCTTTAAATATTGAAATGTCATTTAAAATATAAACATGTAAAAATCAATAAGGATATCAGAAATACCATATTTTAGATGATTGTTGAGACACTTGCTCTGCCTTCAGTTATTGGAGAACACAGTTTCAAAAGTCACTCACAAGTATTATTTCATCTTAAAAATATCTAGTAGCTAGCAGTCCTTTTTTAATCTTTAATTATGTGACTATGTGTATATTTTTTGAGAAATTAACTGAAAAGATTAAAATTCTGGCACTATAGGTTAAACTGCCTAACTGCTAAAAAATAAAACAAAAATTTCCAATTGAAATATTTTAGTGATTTGATTCAATGCTTATATTAATAAACTGTGCAGTCTTTCTGTATGGATAATAGTCCATACAGAAAAGATGATGKCTTATGATTTTACAAAAACACTTTAGTCTACTGAGCTGTAAAGGGCTTCTTGTATCATTTTTGCCATCATAACTTTCAGATATTATCCATCAAAAATAATACCAAGACCTTGAAATTCAGGAGAGGAATAGAAATTCTCAAATCTGAATAAAGCAAGCTTTTGCTTTGAAAAGTCTTGATCTAAATTCATGAGATAAAGGGAGGTAAATGTAAGACATCTGCAAATGTTCCTTTTGTCCAAATCAGTAAGAATTATGAAAGAGTAATGGATGCGTTTTGAARCCTTGGGTAGCTCACTGTTAACGTTTGCTGTACTGATTCCTATCTCGCATTTAGTTTTCATCACCAATGAGAATTAACCTCCTTCCCAAAACCCCTTTGTTATCAGCCTTTCATGAAAGTCTTTTATATCTGAAACAGCCCATTCCATCTTTCTCTCCGCTTTTCTTTTGTYGTAAGGCCCTCTGCAAATCCCTCTCTGTGTCCCTTGGCCATCACTTGCAAGTGGCTGCACCACCTTTTCAGGTTTGCTGTACATAAATTTTGTCAGGATATAATAATTTTAAGGCTTCAGGTCCTGTCAAATGGGGATAACCAGCATCATATCCAATAGTCTATGAAGAGTAAACTTGCTTTGCATAAAGTACGATGGAGCAGTTTTCACTGAATCTATTATTGCAAATTTAAGAAACAGAAAGTTTCAAGGTGAAGCTTCAGGATGTGAATCAGGTCACTAGCTCAGAGCTMGTAAGCAAGCCCAGGCAGTAAATATGCAAAACTGTCTTATATCTGTGAAAAAGAATGGGGATATAGGAAATGAGGAATGCAGGAGGAAAAGGAAGCAAGGTGGATGGAAGTGTGCTGGGCAAATGCAGAACGCAGATGGCAAACAGTGAGTGAGTGGATTGAAAAAATAAGGTGAAATCTGCTTRCCTTTACTTTGGGTAAAACTTATTCAGAGTCACTAATTTAAAGTCTTCACTCACATACGAATTTTCAGGAARTCTATACAAGATAGTTACTTTTGACTCATTCTGTTCTGCATTTGTATATTTTTTTTCTGTACATATGTAATC